GAGGCTACGCTGATATCAGAAATGTGAAACCTTACTGATTCAAACCAACACTGTGTCCTTGAGCAATACACTTACAATACACTTTTCCCCCTTTCACTTGTTTATGAAGAAAAACAATGAATGTATTTATGTACTTGTCTATTTATTTATTATTTTATTGCCAGATTTCTCTACCAATCACGTCGTATTGCTGTCTGTTGCTATGAAATATAATATGAATAAGAATAATATGAATATGAATATAATAGGCAAATGCACAAATATTAAGCCAAATTATTCCTAAATGTACCTAAAACCATTGACTTCATTTTGGCCAACACGCAACAGCACGCCTTCCACTATAATTACTATATTGACTTATTGTTACATTCATTATATGCTGAATGAACAATATTTTTTCTTAATTTTATATAATATTAGACCTGGACGATGACATTTATGTTATAGATGGTCCAATAATTAATTTCCTTGACACACTGTAGATACCAGAACTACTAGTATTTAATATTTATATATTTCAGGCCAAAACATGTTTAATATGATTCATGTAGAAAAGGGATTACTGGGACAATCCTGCTTTAAGTTATTGCAAAAGTGGTATAAATTCATTTCAACATTATCGTTTATCACTTAAAAAATTGTTATACCCTGGAATCCGTGTTTTGTTTTTACCAAGCAATAAAAAAAATAACATAAATCTTATACATTCCAAAGCCTTAATTGTTATTGTTATATGTTTCTCTGAGTACAAAACTTTCACAGCTAATTCTCACCTTCTAAACAGCACAGAACATTGGGTGTTAATGTATTTTGATGTGTGGTGACAGTCGTAAGTGCTCTCTTAATTAGACCTATGTGTGCGTGCATGTTTGTACTCTTTAGACGCATATAATTAGACCCTTTATCGCCGAGGGTCTCTATATGAATGATTTATGAATTCTGTGTTTTTGTATTTACGGCACACTCTAATGCGTTAACCTGATGACGATTGCTCACTGACTTATTCATCAGGCATTTACTGTAATTAGCCCAGACATAGAGACCTGCACTTGAAGCAGCTAAATTGGGCAATTATGGACATTACGTGCACGCCTCATAGGCTGATGGGGTGTTAAAACGTCAAATAACCTGAAGGGGGCGTATGAAGTCAATGAAAGAGTAAACAGAAGGCAAAGAGCAAGGAAAGAAAAATAAAAAAGTGTGCAATATATGTAATTTTTTGGGTCCATCACCTGCTTGTTTCTATGAATATGTCATTGCTCTGCCGAGAAAAACAGGTATTCTGACTGTGATCTAACCTGTAATAGAAAAGTTTAATGCCATGCTGTGAAACATTCCAGACAAAACAATAACATCTCCATGGAGAAAAGCATTTGAATCTTGAACAGTATGGTATTAAACGTATTAAATATACATGGGTGACAGTATTGGCAGAGCGTTTGTTCACCGGGTCGAAGGTGGACAGTTTGTAATCATTGGTAGAGCGGTCAGGCTAGTGGTGCAATTTCAGCTCCCACAGATGAATGTTGTTGTTGTGTCCTCGGGCAAGACACCCCTAGTTACCCACCTCACCCCCTGGTGTCTGTGTACACTGGTGTTTGAATGTGTGTGTGAATGAGTGAATGGGTCCTTGATGTAAAGGACTATGGATGCACTGAAGTTGGAAAAATGCTATAAAAATGTGACCATGACCATTAATTCAATTATTGTTTTACCTTACCTTTTAATTACAATCATGTTTTCCTTGCTCAAAAATATCTTTAAAACATACATTCTCAGTGTGAATGGTGTCACCACAGATCTGACCTGCTTGTCTCTATGAATACAGATACTATATTTAAAACTATAACGTGTGCAAAGCTGTAAAACTCCCATGGAGACAAAGGAACTGGCAGTCTCTCCATCCGTGAAGTTACTAGTTTTGGTTTGAATAAGAGTTGTTCCATTAAAAAAATAAAATAAAATTCTCTAGTCATTTTTTTGGTTTTGGGACTACCACCTGCTTGTCTCCATGGAGATGTTATTGCTTTGCCTGGAAGGTTCCACCAAATGGTATTAAACATACCTATTTCACATTGGGGCAACAGTGGCTCAGTGGTTAGAAAAGTGGTCCCCCAGTCTGAAGGTCCAAGTATAGATTCTAGCTCAGATAAAGTTCTCTCTTTGTGTCTTTCGGCAAGACACTTGAACCACCCTGTCTAGTATCAAAGTGTGTGCGGGAGTGACTGTTGAATACTTTATTGTATTACTATTTATTCAACTATCGTGTAACTAGTCCCAGTGGCAATAGGGGTGTGCAAAAATACTGGAATACTGATATATCGCGTCATTTAATGTGATGATAGAGTATCGATACCGTGGGCTGCTGTATCGATATATATGTATCGATGTATTTTTTCGTATATTTTATAATTTTGTTTTTGTTACAGACCTACAGTTTTGCTGCTGGTTTAGTGGAAGGAAATGTTTTTATGCGACACATTTGACAGTTTCACTGTTTTGATGAGTAAAGTTGGTGTGTTTCATATTCACTTTGCACAAGAAGTGGTTTAACCCTCTCAGGCTCAAATACATTTTTAGTATCAGAAAAAATCTGATATTTGGGGAAAATTATCATATGGGGTAGTAATATACAATCCTGACTTTTTTATCCTTTGTAAACAAAAAAAGTATTTTGCACTTCTGGCAGGCCGTTTGCATGTAGCCATTCTTGCACAGTCTGCATCGTCCACGTTTATCAGCATGGATGGGAAAAATGGCTCCTGAGTAAAAAAAGCTCATAAAATATGGATGTGGAGTAAATAGGTAATTGGAATTTAGCTGTTGCAAATCTACAACGCCTGCCTGGAGAGGGTTAACAAACACTTTTAGTATCACAGCCATGATTTAGCCTTATTGAACAGTATTGAATTGACATGAAATCTGTTGTATCGAACCAAAAATGCACTGTATCAAGATATGTATTGTATCATGGCCTATGTATCGAGGTATGTATCATATCAGCAACATCTCAGTGATACCCAGGCAATAACATCTCCATGGAGACAAAAAGGTAATGGACCTACAAAAAGAACGTAGTGCTCTTTAATGCTATCTTCCACTGTCTATACGGTAAACACTAGTCATGCACATGTACAATATAAGTCTATTTTATCCAGTCCCATGCTTTGATTCTTGAGAAGCCATCACAGCATTCTTACTTTGAGCAGATTCAAACACATAATACTGTCTATTTTCTCAAACACATTTATTTATCATTATGGCTGCGCTGAGGCATGTATCTTGCACTTTGACTATTAAACAACCACATTCCAACATGTCATTATCAGATAGCGAGCACGCAGGATACAAAAATGGTTTCTTTGCTGCGATTTGCGTGTCTGTCACTCAACGCCAACAGAAAAGCATTATCCAGGTAATAGCAGCAATTGGAGGAAGCATTAGATTAGAACCCCGAAGCACTTAGTCCCTACGCCGAATATCTCCACAAAGGAAATTACAGAAGCCACGAAAAGCTGTCTCGCGAAAATGCTTCAGTATTTATGCTTTGCGGATAGGCTGTCAAATCAAAACTCGCACCTCGCGTTTCAAGATTTCCATCTCGTAAGACGTATATGCCAGTTTGATTTTGTTGTTCGTCCTAACATAACCTTGGCTCTGTAATATCCGAAGCTGTCCATCTTTCTGTATACTTCAAATGAGGATCGAACATTTTAGGAGTGTTATATTGCGGCCTTTCTTTTGGATTGCGATTCGATACTTGAACACAATGGTGGCATGATGGCTGAGTGGCTAGCACCTCACAGCAAGATGGTTCGTTTTGTGCAAAGTTTGGTTTTTCTACGAACATTCCAGTTTGAAGATGCACTGTGTAACTTTTCTGGAGGGGACCCGCAACCTCTTTTATTCATTTATTCAACTACAGATGATATTCATTGCTCAAAAATATCTTAAAAAACATAAATTCTTACTGTGGGGTCACCTCCACAAAGTGTTAACCTGTCATTTGGCTTGCAAGTCTCCATGAAGAAGTTTAAGCCCATACTGTGGAGCATTCTAGGTACATCGAACAAGTAGGCGAATACATCTACATCTTCAGAGCTCAAAATCCGCCTTTTACCTTTAGTTCAGTAGAGATTGGCCATTTCCAGGGCTGAAATTATTCAAATGATTCCAGTAAAGGTGTATGGAGTTCAAAAACACAGTGGAGTTCTTCCTGTGTTACCACATGACATCACCAGGTGGAACAGAAGAACTGAATATTCAGGGTTTGTGTGTTAAAGATTAGATGTGAATGAAACAAAACACAACTCCAGATATGGTTAAGATGAGGAAACAACATACAACATACAAATAACATAGATCAGAAAATAGTGTAAGATGGGCCTTGTAACCATGGAGAAAAGACTGAAATATGAACTCTTTGGAATCACATACAATGTCCAATGAAGAGCTTGAAATGGTACAAAGGTAAGTACTGAACAGCCAGAGCTAAAAAAAAAAAAAAAAAAAGATGAAAGATAATAAAATACAAATCCACGCTCTGCCAAAACTACCTCAGGAAAAAAGAACAAAATGGTGAGCTTGAAAACATGGAGTGTCCAGCACAGTGTCCAGACTTAGGTTTTGGGACCTACAAGTGCCACATATTTATGGGAACATCTGCTACAGACTTGGAAAGAACTTTCTGAACAATATCTGATTTCTATTGTCCAAAGAATGCCACGAGTGTGTTCAGCTGTTATATCTGCCAAAGGTGGACGCTTTGATGAATCAAAAGTTTAGAATATGTTTTGGTCAACAGTAAACGGGGAAAAAAACTGGAAAAAGTGTGGTGTTCTAAAACTTTTGACCAATCGTGCACATTTGAGAAGTCTAAACTACCGTGTTAGAAGGTCACTGTTAGTAGGCCTATTGACGGTATTTTGTTTGCAATTTGTTGCCATTAAACTTGTCAAGACACTTCCTGATCTGTATTTGTTGTGATTTGTTTGTTGCAGAGAATCACGCCATGGCGTCGCACACATCGGTGAACATTCGGATACTGGATGTCAACGACAATCCCCCTGAACTGGCCCTACCGTACGAAGCCTCCATATGTGAAGACGCCAAGCCCGGACAGGTAAGTGAACCAATGTTAGATTTAAAGCTGCACTGTGTAATTTATTGCTGGTTGAGGGTCCGTCAGATGCTTTTCTTCATGGAGATGTTATTGCTTTGACTGGTATGTTTCACTCTATGGCATTAAACTTTCTAACTCCACGGACCCCCAACCAAAAAGCTACATACTGCACCTTTAAAGCTAGAGGATATTACAGTTTTTGGACGTAGGAAGTGTTTTTATCTCATGTGCCACAATATGCTAGTTGTTTTGCTGGAACTTATATATTGGAAGTTAACTTGGCCAATAGTTTCTGAATATACCAAAGCAAGCGTCAGTGACAGATGGTCCATGTCCATGTGATAAAGGCACATCTGTGGTGGTTTTTAATGCTCTGATCTCTTTGCTTTATAGGTGCTAAAAATCCATTCCCACTCATAGAAAATACTGCAACTAATGTTTAACTATTTATAAAGCAAATGAATATAATATAATAAATAGGCGATGTAAACCCAAATCTGAACAGGGAGATAATAAGTTGCAATAGTTCAAGTAACTGCATGAGTGTATGATACGCAATGTATGATTTCATTTGATTGTAAAATTTTTTTTATACTAATTATTTTATATAAACTACATGATGCCAGATATTGTAAGATTTATTTTTTTGTTTGTTACATGTGGAAGTAGAAGTTGTCTGATATCATTAGCCGTAGGGTCCAAATCTGATGATTCAGTACATACATACTCAAGATATGCATGTCATGAATTAATATATCCCTGATACTAAAACAATGAATGATATATTGCGATTTGTCAATAATTTCTTTTATTACTATAGTCAACTAGACCTTCACAAGAACAAAAGTGTAGGAAATGTAACTTATTACATGTTTTAAATCATGAGATAGTGAATGTAACTTCTAGAAAATCGTTTCGGATGGATTTTGAATCAAATTGAGATTTATGCAATTAAGTATCACAATATCTCAATGAAACGATGTTTTCCTACACCCCTAAAAAACACCTCTCCATAAGTGTTTATCCACACACCCGCTGCTACCAGTGTAACTCTTGTTTAAGTGTTGGTTGGTTTTAAAGTGTTATTATAGATCAACAGGTCGTGCATGAAGTAATGGAGTACAAAAAGTAAAAGTACAATACTTAGGTACACTTTTTAGGGTTTACTTTACTTTTTAGAGTGGATACATTTTACTTTTACTACAGTACTACTAGTGTTAGATCTGGATTGAAAAGTATAAATTGCTTTTCTTTACGGCTTAAGACCTGCTGAAAAGGCTAAGACTTATTTTTCGTACATTTAATTTGAGTTACCGCCCCAACTTTGAGCAAACCAAATACACAAAAACACAAAACAGCTAGAAAAATTTAATCAACTGCCTCACTTATAATCCGCTAAACTCATTATCAAAATACACTATATTTCATTTTTTGTTCTAAAACTCTGCAAAATCCTTTTACTTTTTACTCTTAAAGTACATTTTTAAACAGGTAATACTTTTACTTAAGTAGATTTCTTCATACGATACTTTTAGTTTTGCTTGAGTAATCTTTTGCCCCGTTATCTGTACTTTTACTTAAGCAACAAAATTGAGAATAGTGACCAGGAGAGGGACAGCTCCAGAGGACAGCAATTTATTGTCTTAAAAAAACCACAATCCGCTATTACGCCCCGAAAGTAGTTCCCTTCAATATTACAAGGCATTACTACAAGGAACATACAAAATAAATCTTACAATATGAAGCAAGGGAGTCTATTTTGAGGAATATCAAAAAAAAATTAACGATGTTTTGCGTTATTTCACTCATGCTTTTTTGTTTAATATGTTCCATGTGTTCATTCATTGTTTTGATGCCTTAATTGAGAATCTACAATGTAAATGTTCATGAAAAACACTCGCACACACACACACAATGACAAAACCAGTAAATAAAAGTGTGTTTAAGCTTTGTCTGGTAGAATACAGTACACAATAGTTCACATTTGGTCCATAAAAAGCTGAACATTGACAGTATCTATATCAGCTCCCATTTAAACTTAATAAACATGAGTACTTGAAATCATTTACTGTATGTATTATCTAGTCAAAAATCATCCATGGGTTAAAGAAGCCCCACTAGATTTTGGACTCTTTACCAAATGACAATCTCATGTTGAATGTTGAATATTATGTAAAGGAATATATGTCTATATTAGCTAAGAATAAATCGAGCCCATTCACTGTTGAACCATTGTACATTTTTATCACTACATTAGTATTCATGTGTAGTTTATAATCTTTGAACAGCAGCACTATCATTTCAGTTTGATTAATTCGTAATTGCATATTTTGATTCTCGTACATCATATTCACAGATTTTTTTTCTCTCTCCGTTTTGGCAAAGGCTCAATTTCTACAACAGGCAGAGAAAATTGTTCTTGAGAATTATTTATTTTCAGTCCATTGAACATTTTTGGCACATTTTACTCCAGTAGACTCTAGTTCTAATCCTGCTGTGTTTACTTTGTTAATAAAAGTGATTTAGCATCACCTCATTGATTCACACACTAATAACTCTGCTGTAAGACTTTTAATAACTAGACAATTTATAGCCAGTGATGGGAAGAATACTTTGAAAATGTGTTTAGTTACAGAATACTGAATACCCCAATTAAAATGTATTTTGTAACATTTTCTGATGCACAGTCCAATCAGAGCACTGCAATCTGAATATCTGGGATACTTTTGCTTCGAGGTTTATTATACTGTGTGTAAAAATAAGCATGACACATAATTACAAACAACTTTATTTTTTCTATAATGCATAAATTTATGTCTAATTAGAGACAAAGAAATCACATACACACACTGCAAAATCGCTTTGTCTTTTCTAAAAATGAAATGTTGAAGTACTGCCATGTATTCCTTTTAATTTAGAAAAGTAACTATTCACAGTTTAAAGGTTTATTAAAGCGTAGACGTAATTCATTATGAACCAGTATTTATTTATTTATTTTGTTTTAAAATAATGATTTAGGCTTAGTAACTACTTAAAGGTACAATGTGTAACTTTCTGGAGTTGGCACGTTGGCAAATAAGATTCAATTATTACGTAAGAACATTGCCAATACAGGTAGATATATTTTATGCCATTGTGTGGAATATTATAGATAAAGAAACAACTTTTCCATGGAAACAAGCAAAAGGAGGCCTTCCTACAGACTATGTAAGAGTCAGGTTTGTGGAGATGCAAGCACACTCATAGGATGCATGTTTGTAGTTTTCAGTACAAAAAAAACCCAAAAAACAAATAAACAAAACAAAACAATAATGCATTTTTGTAAATATAATGATCTGATTTACTAGTAGTAGTAGTAGGAGGAGGAGGAGGAGGAGGAGGAGGAGTAGGAGGAGGAGTAGGAGGTAGGAGGAGGAGGAGGAGGAGGAGGAGGGGAGGAGGAGGGGGAGGAGGAGGAGGAGGAGGAGTTGGAGTTGGAGTTGTTTTAGTAGTATACATGTGGCTTTAATTAAGGGGTTAGGCTTAGGAGTCAGGGTTCAGGCAATAATTAAGTAGTTATTAAGCTCAAATTATTCTTCATAAACTAACTGCTCATTATAAATTAAATCTTTCTTCACAGTTGGGTTTGCTATTATAAAGTGTCACCAACTCGAACACTGCTTCACAGACAGACTGTCCCCAGCTGACTTTTATGTGTGTCATTACCTGTACACTAACCATGAACAAAGCGCCTACTATACCTCTGGGTGCCATTTTGCCACTAGCTCTGTGCACTCCTCATGATTAAAACAAATCCAACCATTATAGAGTCTCTTCCCCTCAGTCAACAGGCCCCGCGCTGAGGTGGAGCCAATTATCATGTGCAAAGCAAAGGAATAATTAAAAAGCTTGGGGCCTGGACACAGGAGGAGTCAGTAGCACATGTAATGAGGTCAGCATCATCCACACTCTTAAACGCTTATGGCCAGCTGTACGCCCCAGGTGTCTCTTCATAGCACCGACTGTTTTGGAGTTAGTCTTTTTAGTCAAGATTTAGTTAAAGGCGCACTGTGAGACATTTCTAGTGGAGAGTCCGCCACACACAAAATTACGTTTGCATTTTGGCTGGATTTTTGCATCATTGATAAAACATTAGACTTCTTCACAGTTTTAAAGTCCACAAACCATCACCAGACACTTTCTGCTGTCAAATTGTGAATGTTAGGTTCTATTACCACAGCATTCAAATTTCCTATGGGTTTCCTTTATGTATTTCTCGCATTTTATTCATGTTCGAGTAGTCACTGAAAATGGAGGTGTTGCTCATAGTCTATTTCCAAATGTAAACGTCATTTTAGGTTATACTTAGATTATGTATAACTGAAAGTGCCAGTCAAGAATTTTGGACATAGGGCCTCATTTTCGAGCTAGCCACAGTGCTGGAGACTTGTGGAGACACTTTTTAAAATATTCCTTCCAGTCCTTGTATTTGCAGAGGTCGCTGGTGCTAGGCTAGCGCATGTCAATGGCCATAGTTAGCCTTCCACTAAAAACAGTCTTACCCACTCCACAAAACACCTGAAACAAATCTATTATTATGCCTCTTGGTCAATGTTAAAGAATAATGTTTGAAATAAAAGTAACCTTGCATAACATGAATTGTCGCATGTTGAGGGACTATTTTCGCAGCAGTAGCAAAATGTTACTTTGCCGGTAAGATGGGTTCTAGGTGATATCAGTCCGCCACTGCCAAGCTTTCTATTAGGAAGTACAACTCGCTGCTGCTCAGACATAAATCCAAGGTTGTTTTTACTTCTAAAATTATTCTATCAACACAGACATTTACATTGATAGTCTGGTGTAATAATAGATTTACTTTGGGTGCTGTTTTTAGTGGCAGGCTAACTATGGCCATTGACATGCACTAGCCTAGCACCAGTGATCTCTGCAAATACAAGGACTGGATGAAATATTTTTAAAAAGTGCCTCCACACATCTCCAACACTATGGCTAACTAGGAA